AAGATCAGACAAATGTCTACGTTAATCTTTAAAAGCGGATGTTTTGGAAAGTTTTTGGACCTTCTAGTGTTTTCGAGGAAAATAAAACCAAAGGCTCCTTTTACCCCAGGGTGCTTTTAGCTTTTAGTTTACGGGTATCTGTGTAAGTTTCTGTTTAAGGTGGGTTTGTCATGTGTTTTAGTTCAGTTTCCTGTGTTCTAGTTTTCTCCATGGTTTCTTTTTGATTTGATTATCATGTGCACCTGTTATTCATTTAGTTGATTAGCTTGCCTTGTGTTTTTAAGCCATCTTTGTTCAGTTCACTCTCTGTTCTCGTCTAGTTTCTTGAGTGTTTTGTTTCTTTTGATTTTTGTTTTAAAGACAGACTGCCATGATCAAATCCTGGACTTTATTTTCACTATTTGCAACCACGCTCTCAGCTTGTAGTTAGTGATGGGCAGATCGAGGCTTCGTGAAGCAATGAAACAGTTGAAGCAAACGTGCCATATTGTTTCGAGGCTTCGAATCAATCCGACACCCGTCTCCACGGTGACACCTAGTGGTCACTTGCAGGTGTTGATCTAAAACAACTTTGATTTTTAATACAACGAGCCAATAAAAAACTGTTTTTATTTTTTTATTTTTTATTTTTTTTATTGTATGTTTCTAATATATGAAGCTTGTAACCTGTAGTCTCTTCACATTGCATAATGTTATTTTGGTCATGAAAAATGAATAAAAGAAATCAAGCCACAATGTCTCACTTTCTTATAGATTTTTATTCAAAAATATCAATCTCTCTGCTGTCGAAGGACTCAGCCTACTTCTTTTTTTACAGATAATTTCTCCAGCCTTTGAAAAAATCCTCTCACAAGGGACACTTGTTGTTGGCATGCAAAGATATTTTTTTAGCAAGGACATACAAATGAGGAAAGAACTCTCTCTTTCCAGTAAGTTAGGGGATCATGAGTTCTGGGCAAAAACGCATCGTTGAGGTATTTTTTCACTTCCACTGTGGCATTAGCTGTAGCATTGTGTATCATCTGGGTTTCACGGATGTGATTATCAAAATGTTCCCATAAACTGTCCTGTGTTTCTACTGGTGTTGATGATGATGGGCCTGATGTTGACATTTGTGGCTCTGAATGAAAATGAAAATCTATTATATGCATCCATCTATTAATCTATGTATATATCTAATAATCTATCTATCTATCTATCTATCTATCTATCTATCTATCTATCTATCTATCTATCTATCTATCTATCTATCTATCTATCTATCTATCTATCTATCTATCTATCTATCTATCTATCTATCTATCTATCTATCTATTATATGTAGGCCTATCTATCTATTAATCCATGTATATATCTAATAATCTATCTGTCTATATATATATATATATATATATATTTCTATCTATGCATCTATTAATGTGTCACTATATGTACTCTGTCTCTCAGTCAATGTGTAAATTTAAATGGAAGCCTAAATATAACTAAACAAATCGCACTATAAATGTCACTATATCACCAAAAATCCGCTACCTCAAAACCAAACTCCTTTCACAAAAACCCACGATGTGAAAATGCGTTGACTTCACTTTTATACTGTGTGTGATCTTTCCCGACCGACCTGTCAATCAAACCCTGACTCGGCGGAGCACTCCACCTGATGAAACCAAACACTCAGAAGCTTCATTTAGCCGTAGTCACGTGACGTGGGTGTTTTGAAACACGCTTCGGATCAGTGTTTCGAATCATCTGCGCTTCTGGATCTCTCAAAGCTTCGGAACAACTGTTTCGCGTCAGCCATCCCTACTTGTAGCTTGATTGAGTAGACTATTAAATGATTTTTTTTCTTCAAATTCAAATATCTTTGTTTCTGGCTTCCTTTGCAATAAATTATGTGTATTAGTAAACACTGTGTTTGAAAGACCACAAACTGACATTAAAAGCTAAGAGTCAAACTGCCTAACTAAAGGAAATAATGGTGACTGAACATTTTCAATAAAACAACATCTAAACCTCTGTTAATTCTCAATAATAACTTCTGTAGATGAATGGCAGAACTAAAGTCCATCTGGTTAGTAATAAGTAAAGCTGGTGATACTCTTTTTGGAGTGGTTTAATCCTCCTCTGCTGCGATCTTCAAAGATGTATTGTCGTCTTTTATTTGCAGGTGATTTCAGGCTGTGCGGTTTTAAGTCAGTTTTAGTTGTTGTGTTTAATTTTTCTGAGAGTGCAAGCCTGATGTTGAACCAACATCACATTGTAACATTGAAATTGCAACATTTTTTAAACATTAATTACGGGTGCAAAAGTGATGTGGTTCAATGCGGTTAACATTGACACATTAACATTGATTTAACATTTTTTCGACGGTTGCTTGCTATCTGGGTAAGTTGTAAAGATGTACCTTTTCACTTTTGTAGGGTATTGCCCCAGTGACAGCTTTGCACCTTTTTTCTGAGAATGTAGAAACAAACCTGGCATCTTTGTTTTGTGGTGATCATAAGCTAGATTACAATAAAATGACTGAAATAATTGAAGTTTCATTTCTCTTGTTAAGAATGACCAGAAGTGTACTGACAGGATGATGCTGCCTGTTCACAATAACTCCTACTATTCCAAAAGTTAAATGCCACAGTCAAATTGTGTGGGTCATTTATAATTTTATTGTCATTTTAATGCAAGTACAACAAGCCAGATCAGTTCACAGGTTGCTTGCTCTTACAATACATGTCAATTAAAAATACAACACATTATTTGGCCTTCCAATCATATCCAGACCATGTCTTTGGTGAAATTCAGAATGATTCCAGATCAGCTTATTCCATTGCATTGGTTTCAGTAGCTTAATGTCAAATTCTGTAAAGTTCCTTAAAGCACCAGTTTACCAAATTACATATTTACTTTTAATGTAACCAATTATTTTACATCATTAAGCTGCATCTTTAATACATGCTAGTAATTTGAAAGATAAAACTGGGGTGTATAGGATGTTCAACACATTAGATCTAGGCTAAATGCGTTTCCATCTTAACCTTCACTGCATTGATCCTTCAGTAATGAATTCAGCAAGACAAGGGAAGGTTTTGAAGTGATGAATGGACACAAATGAGTCAATCTGGATACAGTTGTGCTCTGTTAATTAGTTTCGTTTAAAAGCATGATGTTGATCAGACCCGTTCAGTGTTTACAGTCCAAATCTATATAGCAAATGACCCAAACTCCAATTAATATTGACTTAAATAAAAAATACATATAATTACATCCAAAACACAGCATTGAAAAAGGCAATAACGCAGCAGTTTAAACATCCGTAACTTCGTTTACATTTCTATTCGTTCAGGATAAGAGAGGGAGGAGTCATCTCGGCCAAGAGAAGACGCGTATAAACGTAAAATCAATCCCTACTGAATACATTGTCCTAAATCTGCCTGATGCTGGTACGAAATCTTATTTAAGAGTCCTAAATTAGGGCATCAAACCACAATGTTAACTGATCACAATTCATAAATACACCTCAGAGCGATCAAGTCTACAGCAGGCCATCCACGATCCGTTTTAAGTGCCATGAGCTTCTGATGCCATGTGTTGAATTAGGCCAGTCTAACCTGGAGAGATTTAAGAACCATTATGTTTCTAATGGTGCCTTAAAAATGAGTAGTATGCCTTGAAGCTTCTGTTCAAATGTTCCAGAACTGAGGTCGTTGAGGCTAAACATGCATTTTTTTGTGGTTTGGTTTCAGTTCAGGTATGTTCAAATGTGACTGTTCCAGGACAAAGGAAGACAAAAAAGGCAATGCAATCAAATACAAACGATCATGTCATTATGTTTGGTGCATCTTGACTCAGAAAAAATAACTCTAAAATAAATATGAGCTACGATTTGACAGGACGGAGTTTGGTTTGGTTTATATAAAAGTGTAGTTTTGGACTGCAGAAACGGAAAACAAACGTACTGGGCCCACATTTTGGTTTCACTTCTGTTGATATGTCACGTAATAAAAATGATGATTCCGTATTCTTCACAAAAACCTAAAAAAGATTTAGACTAAGACATGTCCTTTCTACGACAGGCTAACAGTAAATTGTTGTGTTTACGTTATTTGTGTCACAGCGACGGACACCCAAAAGTTTGATTTAAAATTTCTATCATGTACTAGAACATAAATGCAATAAACAGACAACTCTATAACCCTCTAATATATATATAAAAAAACTTGATTTTTAGGCCTTAGTGACACGTGTAGAAACTTAAACCAGTTTTGGAATCAGTGAAAGTTGTTTACCACCTTTCACAGGTGACGACATACTAGTTTCAGTCACACAACACAAACCCTCGACGGTTAAATCAACTACTGTGTGAAAACGGAGCGATTAGCTAAGCTAACTAACCTACGCTCTAACCGCCGTGGTGTGTTAGGAGGAACGGTGAATGGAGCCTATGTCTACCGAAGATACATTCAGTCAGGAGATACCGTGTCATTTTCTTGTGCTGGTTTATACAACAGTCCGTTTTCATTCAGCCATGTTAGGAAATGTTTCGTTCTCTGTGTGAGCAGCACAAGGTCATCTTTTTGTCCACACGTTGCGTCGATACAAATTAATGATAGAAACGTCTATTCGAGTCACGTCTTTAGTTATGTACACGTCATTGTTGCACTGATTTTTTCATTTTTATCAAAAAGCAAGAAACAGGACCAACACAAGTACGTTATAGCATCATACACCAAATTTTGCATGCTTTTCTTTACGCGTATGGACTTCGGATTACTTAGAATTGATTTTTAAAGAAGCAATACCAGAAAAATATCCTAAGCTTTAGGGTAGTATTATTGGATGAACGTTCGTGGTACATTTAAAACACTGATTCAGTTTCTTACGGTGTGTGATTGAGACTAATAATCTACCAGAATGTTTGATGGTTTAGTTATAATGTGAATACAAACCTCGTTCCTTTTGAAGTCTTATTAAAACAGAATGAGTCTAGTAGTTTCTTTTTCTAAGGGTTGTCTTAGAGGGCCAAAATGTCTCGATTTCCCTCCCGGGTTTCTGTAGTGAACTCAAAAATATATTATTTCATTCATATCACAGATTCGCCATGAAATAAACTCTGCTTTGAAAATAGAAATGACAAAACAAACCATTCATGTCGAACATGTTTAGCTTCTTTGAAACACGTAATTCATTCGGAAAGAATGTGTGACACTATTCCAAGATTTTATAACCGCCGAAACATGCTCGGCACGGCCACACCCTCATGAACGAAAGCAAAAACCGGGGGATAAAGGAGCTCTCGGTGGTCTGCGGATTCTCTTATTGGTGTTCTCTCTCCCTGATGAGAGAGTAGTATGCAAACGTTTTACTACAAACTCCCTATTTACGTGCCGGGTTTGTTGTACATTTTGAACATCGGTCATATAGACATACATAGAGTACGAGGGAGAGGGGGTTGAAGTGGAAACCCCAATCGAAAAACGGGAGGCGAGAGGGGAGGGCATGGCCTTGAGACTGCAGAACCCTCCTCAGTTCATTTGCTCGAAGAATTTGTAAGTGGGGTTTTCATAGCCGTGATTCTGCATCTTATTGAGCTGTCTTTCCTCGGGGGTCAGCATGGGGTCGACCTGCTGGGAAAGAGGCAGAGACAAGATGGGGAAAGAATCGCTTAAAATGGAGCATAAGTGAATTTAAATGGGAAGAATTAATGAACAGAAAGATTTGAACAAGTTGGCCATGAGCAAAAATGAAATCATTACGATAGGCACATCTGAGCAAGCTTCCCATGTGGAAGAACATTACAAAATGTAACAGTATTAGAGACTTATACTATATACAGTATGTGTATAGAAACATACTGTATATGTTGCAATCTGCATATGTATGCATTTCTACAAATACACAAACAGCACCATTATCCACTGCATAAATGCTCGATTCTGTCAAATATTTGTGTATAACAATGATCTATCATCATTATGTAATTTAACATAAATATAATTATGTACCATTTGTGTATAATGACCCACTATCTAAACTGATACTTGCCATTCATTTTTGAGTAAAAAATAAATAAAAGTCACTTATCTCTTTATATCTACTGATTGTGACTGATTGACTTCATATCATATCGTAATTGCAGTTTTATATCTCATAACTGCAGCTGTAGATTACATAAATGCAGCTTTTCTTATGTCTTTATTTTTTTACTTTATTCACAATTATATATTTTTCCTGCTCTGAACTGAAGCAGAAACAGCCCACTATCTCTTCTCAAAATAATTTAAACTCAAATCATTATTTCATGTCTATTGACATATTTATTGGATAAATGGTTGTGCAATTATTGAAAAAGAAACCCCAATCAAGTCTCAGACATTATACAGTAGGCTATATGATTCATATAGGCCTGTATTTATCTTTTACAAATTTCACATACAAAACTACATTAATTATGAGATTACAATCATTTAGTACAGATTAAATATTAAATTCTGCTTCATGGTTTCACTTTTTTCCCCATCAAATCAAAATATCAGAATGCAAAAATGACTATATCAAAACACATAGCATGAAGGATGCTGCTTCAGGGGTTTGGTTGTTACTTCCTCATGTTCCTTTGAAATCGATAGCCAAATCAAATTATATTACTTGAATGGGTCAAGAAGATATATTTACATGAGGCTGTCACATTAAAAACCACAAACACAGCCAGAAGCCGTAATGACGTCAGGGTTTGACCCTATTTCTTGAACGTACTGCTTCAAAAACAAGCCATTTCGACATCCTGTCAGCTGAACTCTCACCTCTACTATGCCATGGCTGATGGTTCCATATGGCTTACGGCGGACTAGCAACAAGCTGATGACCATCACCATAGCGATGGCCACGGCAACCACCAGCAGCCCCACCATTGCCCCGCGGTTAAACGTCTCCAAAACGTCCGGCTGCTGTGATAGATTAAAACAAAATTAGGAAATGAGTTTCAGTAGTACTGTATACAGGGAACATATTAGCACCTGAGGGGGCATAACTTTATTTGTATAAAATGGAAATCCATCCTACTTAATCATTCACTGCTCTATTGTTCTTTTATACCCGTCAGAACCCTTAAAATAAATATGGGAATATACTGCAAAATATAATGCAATTTATTACATAATACATTTCCATATATGGGAAACTAGTGCTTATATTTTTCAGTATACTGCAATATATGCACTGGCCATGTATGGCTATATATTATTAATACATATAAAATATTTATAAATGATTTATACATTTATAAATGTGCCAAAGAGTAGTGAAGAAATGTCCGAACACTATGTAAATAATAAAAAAATATAAGAAATATAGTACTTTATTATTACTCTATATATGAGTGTTTATGCTGCATGAGTAAATATATCTGCGATATATTACACATGCAGTACACATATACATCTATGTATTATGAGGTGTATTACTGAATATAAAATTACATGCATGATAATATATTAGTAAATATGTTGTCACGTGTTTTTCAATATATGAAAAGCGGCAATTCCTTATATATTATTCAATATATTGTAATATACAGTATTAACACAATTTATTATTCTGTATATTCTCAAATATACTGTTAAACCATTTACTATATTGATCATTCATATACACAGGGAAATATATTTTCTTTTCTTGCGGGTAAGGTGTGCAATTTTGGAGAGGCTAGCAATAGCAAGCTAGTTTTGAAAGCATAAGATTCCACCCTAGAACTCTAGAATGAGACGGTCTATAAGTACGCATGGCTAAGTCAAGAATGAGCTGAATGAAAGATGCAAAACAACCTTCAGCAGCGCTTGATGATGTGGCAGCCAAGATACTAGGCCGCCTTACTAGGACGCAGCCTTTTGTTTGAGAAGCGCCCATATATGTTGACATGCAGGTAGGCAGGGGTGCCGCCAGAAATTCTGGGCCCTATGGAAACCAAAATTTCTGGGCCCCCTACATTTTTTACAGATAAAATTTAACCCAATAAACATGCCCAGTGAAAAGTCCTCTCCCCCCTCTCCCTCTCCCTGATACTTCGCATAGACGATACTTCGTCAACTCTGCACAAAAAACTACTACTACTGCAGGCGTGCAGGTCACGTTGGTTCTATTGACGGAAATGACAGGGAGAGGGAGAGGAGGGAGAGGGGGGAGAGGGGGGAGAGGGGGGAGAGGACTTTTCACGAGTAAAGATATTACAGCGCCGAGTCGAAGTGCTCCCAATAAGTGCTATTCCGCCATACATTATAGTTATCCATTTTACCCGCTTATAAAAAGCGCCACATTTTATTTAGTGTCACCATACTTGGTCGTGTAACTACTCGTGTAACTATATTTAAATAGAGAAAACGTGGATGTGTTTGGTCGCTTCTAACTTCATCTCTGTTTGGCCCATATACAATGAATGGGGCTAAGCTAACTGATCTCAAAGTTCTCCGCCCGACAGAGCGATTCAGTGCACGCACTGAGACGAGAGAGGTATGTATCAACTCGTCTTAGATAAGAGAATAACATAGTTTACAGTTTTTCTCAATTGCTAAAACACAATTTCTGAATCCTTGCTCCTTTTTCTGAAAACATTAAACACAAAACCTCATCTTCAAGCACTATTTACAAAACCTCTGACTCTTCTTGCAAAATGAAACTTTCGCCTCAAAACAGTTTTACTTGTGTTCAAAATCAAACACTGCTCTCAAATCATAGACAAAGTGATCAAAATGATATACACTATCAAGCAGTCAGTAAACAATACACCAAAAAATAGAAAACACATTGTTCAAAACATACAGTTCTCGAAAGATATCTACGGACGGCTATTCTGTTTGTAGACTTACCCGTGACACATTACTGTACCATCAAAATTTCAGGGAGAAGTACATTTTTAATCTTACAGTTTTTCTCAATTGCTAAAACACTAAACCCTATTGTCTGAACCAAATGCTCAGTTGCCTGAACCCACTGATTGAATCAATCACTCTTTTGGCAAAATCATAAGCACTTTTCACCTGTTTAGACACAACTTGCCAACACATTTTCATTGTGATGCACCCGTGCTGCATAATGGTGAGCACAGGTGACAAAAGTCAAACACAATTAAAGCACAGTTGTCACCACTTGAACACAACAACTCAAAATTGATCACACTTGTGGCTAATTATGTGAGGGAACATATACAGTAAGCCAGTTCAGAGAGCACTGGTTTGTGAGGCCCTACAATGGGTATAAATCTGAGAGGATTCTGAGAGAGTTTTCACAGAGCCCTCCAGGTTAGAGACTGGTTCAATATGAACCAAGGTTTTACAGTATTACAGTACTGAACAGTAATCTTTGCCTTCCACCGTACTCCCCTTTCCTAAACCCCATTGAGGAATTCTTCTCCTCATGGCGGTGGAAGGTATATGAACGCCAACCTTACACCAGGGTAAATCTCCTGCAAGCCATGGGACTTGCCTGTGGTGACACAGGTGTGGAGGCATGCCAAGCCTGGATACGGCATGCCAGGGGTTTTCCCCGTTGCCTGGCCAGACAAAATGTGGCCTGTGATGTGGATGAAGTCCTGTGGCCTGACCCAGTACGGAGACATGATGCTGTGGCTGAGTAATCCACTTATTTGTATTTTTTTGTACTTTATTTTTACATGGGCTTACTGTACACAAGTGGCAAACGCATAAGATTTCTGTTTGTTTTTACAAGTGCTACGTGTAAATGCACAAGATTTCTGTTTTGTCTTTTTGTACAAGTGCTAAATGCACAGTTTTTTTTTGTTTTGCAACATGCATTTAGCCGTGAACACTAAACATTTATTTCTCCAGCTTCATGTCCTGAGCATTGTGTTTTCTATTTTTCTACGTAGTGTTTAGTGACTGTTCAGTAGTGTTTTTAATTTTGATTGACTTGGGGCACGATTTGACAACATAGTTCAGTTTTGAGCACAGATTGAACTGTTTTGAGGTGAAAGTTTGGTTTTGCAAGAAGAGTCTGAGGTTTTGTGAATATAGCTTGAAAATTGGGTTTTGTGTTCACAGTTTAGAGAAAAGGAGAGCAGCTTTCAAGAAATGTGTCTTAGCAATCGAGAAAAACTGTAAAACAAATTTCATATTTGTCCGTCATTGTCTTTTGATGAATGAAAACAACATAGTAGCGCAAAATTGATCAGAAATTACTACTCTGCTTTGCTCTTTGCAATTTTATTTGTTCTTCCTCCTTGTACCCCTATTTTTACAGTACAGTGCCCTGCATCTCACAAACTTCTCCTTGTCAGTTCTATTGTTTGATACTGTAATTCTTGTTCTTTGTTGATATGAACCTGCAAGTGCAACCAGTAAAATCTATTGAGCATTCAGTACTGTAACAAATGGTACTGTTACAGTAACGATGTTCGGGGCCATATAATTTGTTAATTGTACAGTATACAGCCTACAATGCACTGTACTACAGTATACAATACTAAAAGGGACAAAAATCAAAGGAGTAAACGTGATCAGTGTGCTTCTTCTTGTCTTTGGGCATCATTTGAAACAGGTTAAATCAATTTTGAGTGGTTGTGTTCAATCAATGACATTTGTTCTCTATTTGTATTTGATCATTGCCACTTGTGTTTACCAGTATGGATGGCGTGTGCATTACAGTGCAGAATATGTTTTGAGAATGAGAATGTGTTTAGCGTTTTGCTGAAAAGTCTAAGTAAGATCTGCAAATTGTGTTTTGCCATGTGAAATAGTTTAAGGTATTGACAACAGACTGCACAATTAGCTAAATGAGTTCAGGCAACTGAGAACTTTGTTCAGCCAATGGGTTTTAGTGTTTTAGCAATTGAGAAAAACTGTAATATGAAAAAACGGTGGAGTATCCCTTTAAGTAATGGCTTTGCATTTACGCTTACTGAACATGAAAGTAGAATGAGACTAGTTACAGTAATTTTCCAAGAGCTAAAAGAAGAAAACTAAACATTAGACACCGTAAAACAAATGAATTCACAAATGAAAGCCTTTAAACGCTCACCAGCTCATCTCTCTGGATTCCTGGAGACTTGTAGACCACCTGCTTCAGCTCTACAGAGGTGTTGATCTGAGGAACACAGAGTGGATTGTGTGGGATAGAAAAACATTTAATTCTACTTAAGCTTGGTATTAAAACGGAATTTAAAAATCTATGTCAGAGAGCATTTGTTATTAGGGAAATATCATCTATGAAGTTTTTGTTAATTCAAACTCATTAAAACTCCAAATGGTGACATCCAGTGGTCAAGTTGCAAAACTGCAGAAACCCCATACTGTCTTGTTTAGAGTAGCACACTGACATACTACTATATTACTCCAGTACAACGTACACTGTGCATAGTGTGCAAATTTTCTGTTTCAATAAAACACCTACATTTGCTAAAATGTGCTTTAAAAAATGAAATACTGTACCCTAAAAAGCAATGTTTTTGACTATACCTTCAATTTCCAATGTGATTTGATGAGACCACCAGAAATGAAGACATTTTTTTGTTAACTGAGTGCTCTTGATTAATCCAAAATAACATATAATAGATGTTCCCCCCAAATCATGCAGCCCTAACTGACAATAATGCAGCTAGTATTTCAATCCAAAAGTAAAAGTAAGTCACTTCTGTAATAAAAGCACTTGATGAGCGATTCTGTACACATTATACATGTAAATGTGTAATTCTGTGTCTCTTAGAGCAGATTTTGTCCTAACCTTCTCCTCGTATTCATAAGTTGGTCCTCTCTCAGAGGTGGTGTAGTCATACTCATCTACTGATGAAACTGTGGACAGACAGAAGAGTGACCTTACAGTTATTCAACCTTATAGACTATAAATATATAACTAAAAACAAACTATAAAATGATTATATTATATCACAGGAAGTGTGATCAGAACCTTTAGTATTTACCTTTCTTATCGCTTGGCTGGGGGTCTACATTGCCCAAAAATAAAGAGAAAGGATAAAGGATAGTTAGTATTTTCAGACTGTTAACGTGCTTATTTCTGAGTTAAGCTCCACTTCTGTCCTCATAATGCATGTTTTGTGTATGTGTGCATGTTGTACCGATGCGTGGCGGGTAGGGGCGGTTCTGGAAAGCTCTGTCCTCTTCCTCCTCATCATCTCGCTCTTCCTCGCTCTCAGCAGGAAGCAGCTCTTCTGTGGTGCGCGTCTCAGAAAAGGAAGTGGTCATGAGTTCGCTGATGTCCCCTCTCTCTGTTCTCACCAACTCCTCTGCAGAGACAGACAGATTGAGTGAATGATTTTCAGAATTATTAGACTTTGAGGCAACACAAGGATTCACGAAAAACACTTACGGATTTCGTCGTGAAGTTTCTCAGCCAGGCCGGGGACTTTATAGAGCAGAGCCAGGCTTTGGTTCATCCTCTCTTCGATCACATGCAGGTGTGTGTACACCTTCAAACACAGAAATCACATTGCTTTTTTATTCATTTGCACGACATCTGACAAAATCAAGCAATAAATCTGACACGTCTACAATGAGCGACAAGACTTATAAGTAGATCATTTGGGAGCAGACGTCAATGCAGTTGGGTGCGCACTATGGTGGCAGAAAAACAGTGGTAGCAAGTGGAGGAAAATGGGCGAGATCCACGGAATACGGAAAAAAATTATTGTTGTGCCACTGGATGTCAGAATCGGACTACAAAAAATTATGGTCTTTGTTTTTATAGTACACCATCATCTAAGATGCCCAAAAATCAGAAGAAATATTACTTTTCTCACAATTGTGACTACAGTATATCTGACAATTCTGAGATTTTTTTTTTTTTTTTTAAATCTGAATTGTGATATAAACTATATTCTATACTTTATTCCGTGGCGGAAACAAGCTTCCTAAGACTATTACTGCAGAACAGTCACATTCTGCCATTAGGAAGGCTCCGCCCACAAAACATGTCATCGCTGTTTACAAACACCAAAATGGTTTGTTCCTGTCATGCTGTGCTAGGTAGCTCCGCCCACACTGAAATCTTATTGGTCTCATTGGAAGAACAGATAGAGATAGTGTCTCAAACCTGGAATTTCATCTGCTCAGCCTTTTGGGGGTCGGCAGACTCGATGTGCTGGTAATGACGAAGAGTGTGTCGTCGGTCCTTCTGCTCTGCGGCCATATAGCGCTTCAGAGCCTGGAGCACGCGGTCTGGCTGTGTGTTTGAGTGTGAGGAAGAAAAACAAAGAGAAATAATGTCAAAAAGAGAATTAGAAACGCAATATTTAATTCATCTACATGCTATGAGAGGATAAGCAATAGATTGAAAAAAAACTTAATTTTTCCTTTATTGTGTTAAAAAAAATTTCCACAGCACTGCACTTTAACACACACAACATAACCAATATAATACAAAAAGACATAATACAGGAGAAAAAAACAAAAACAAAACAGTTAAAGAACACTCAGCGATGTCTGTTGTTAAGGTATGTGATGGCTGAGGGAATCAGGCCCTCAATTTCTCTAACATAAGAAAGAAATATAATCACACAAATGTCTTGCTTTACCCTGGATGTATTATTACTGATTCTGATGGAGTCTTCCTGTACAAATATACCTATGAAATATACTGATATTCTCTTGTTCTTACTATTACTTTTCCTTTTGCTAATACAACTGAACTATTTTTTTTTTTTTTTTTTGTTGCAAATGTTGTATTGTGGTTGCAGTTCTCAGTTAGAGTCGTACCTGTGGAGGGTCGCTCTGCACAGCGCTCAGGTAGCTCTCCAGAGCCAGTCTACGGTTGTTATTCAGGGTGGCAACCACACGGGCCAGGTGTGTCTCCACCAGTCTTTGCCTCTCGCCGGCTACCTGCTCCTCAAGGGTCTGTAAAACAGACTGGAAATGCTGAGAGAGAGAGAGAGAGAGAGAGAGAGAGAGAGAGAGAGAGAGAGAGAGAGAGAGAGAGAGAGAGAGAGAGAGAGAGAGAGAGAGAGAGAGAGAGAGAGAGAGAGAGAGAGAGAGAGAGAGAGAGAGAGAGAGAGAGAGAGAGAGAGAGAGAGAGAGAGAGAGAGAGAGAGAGAGATGGAGAACGATTTGAGAAGTGTCACAGTAATGACTGCACATGAGGCAGCATTCGCTACACATTTTACTTTTGTATTGTGAGAGAATAGGAAAAAAAACGTAGGGCAGGACATGATTTTTATCCAACATGACTTGATTGGACTTGAAAATGGTGCAAGATCTGAATGTAATCTCACTTCTGAAAAACAGCACCCACTTTTGAAAGAAGAGTTTTCTTCAGGTGAAGTTCACCATCAATCATTATTTAATGATTGATGGTGCTATGCAAAGTCCTTGTGAATTATCATTGGCAACCTATTTTACTTCATAAATCTGGAAATTCTGAGACATTTTTTTAGTTTGGGACTTGATTTTATCCTTCAGAACTGATTGGATTGTGACTCTACAAAGCCCTGAATATGACATATGTATATTGGGAAAAAAATATGTATATTGTGGCCACAAATAAATAATTCGTCCCCACGACTTACTAACACGTCAGCATGTTTTACCAATTCGTTCCCTCGTTTTAAGTAAATCATGCGCACAATAAACATTTGTTTCCTCGTTTTACTAAATCGTGGTCACGTTGTAATAATTTGTTCCTTTGTTTAAGTTAAATCAAACTTGGCCACGACTTACTAACCCAGCATCATTTGATCAAAATACAGTTAAAACAGTAATGTTATGAGATATTATTATAATTTTAAAGAACTGTTTTCTATTTTAATATATTTTGAAAAATGTAATTTATTTCTGTGATGCAAAGCTGTATTTTCAGCATCATTACTCCAGTCTTCAGTGTCACATGATCCTTCAGAAATCATTCTAATATGATTGAAACATTTCTCATTATTATCCATGTTGAAAACAGTTGTGCTTCTTAATATTTTTGTGGAAACAGTGATACATTTTTGTTCATGATTCTTTGATAAACAGAAAGTTCAAAAGAACAGCCTGTATTTGCAATAGAAATCTTTAGTAACATTATAAATGTCTTTACTGTCATTTTCATCAATTCAAGTATTCATTTCTTTCAAACAGAAACATCTTACTGACCCCAAACTTTTGAACAGTAGTGTAAAAGCATGTCTGAAACAGTAATTGTTGTGTTTATTTTACCTCATTCAGTGCCTGGCGGTCTGACTTAGGCAGGTCCTTTGACTGGTTATCTGCCTCTGCCCACTCCTTCATGATCTGAATACACAAATAAAGTCACATGATTCCATTCCTTCTTACACACTCTTCTGGCTCACATAAGGACTTATACTCATACCTAAAAAGTCATGCCTCCCTCACCTCATTGATGCGTTTCATTCGCCGTTCCTCCAGGTCCATCTTGGCACGCAGGAAGTTGGCATGCTCACTGTCGTCTCCCGGCATCTCGAAGTAAACATCCACGCCATCTGTAGGACGAGGAGTGGGCACTACCGACAGGAGAGAAAGAGCACCAATCAGGGATTATTCAATCAATGAATCTATTAAAGAGGGAAAGAAGGATCACTACAGCTCAGGGAAACTAAAGTAGTGTCAGTACGAGCAGTGTGTTGACTTTAAATCGTCCATAATATGAGAGGGATTAAAGAGGCATTAAAAATGCAACGTCATTTAAGCTTATGCATCCTGTTTAACCTCTGCTGAATGTCTCTGTGTGTGTGAGAGACAATTTATAACTCCTAAAACATGAAATGTCAGTTGTAAGACTCACGGTTGTCCATCCGAGTTTGAGGTTGGGTGGAGGCTTTGGCAGTCTGGAGGTTCTTGTCGTAGTAGAAGTTGTCCATGTAGTCTTGGCCCTGGAAATGAGAGTCGATGGGATACTCATACTCTTCTTGGTCCTTTACTGTTGTGGCGGCTTCCTCCTCCTCAGCTTCCTTTACCTCAGCTGCCTCTTCTTCATTCCCATCCTCCTCCTCCTCATCCTCTTCCTCCTCAGCTTCTTCCTCCACTACCTCTTCCTCTTCTTCCTCCATGTCGTCTTCCTCGATGTCCGTCTCAGGGGAGGGACTGGGAGTGGGTGGCGTCGTTTTCACACTGATCGAGCGGGAAGGATTTTAAAGTTAGTACGTTTTTAACACATTTGGTCAGTTGTAGGTCAAGGTGCAATCAGTGTATTCTAAATTCTCAAAGGAATGACTCTTATGAGATGATTCTTTTTAGTGAATCAAACATAGAATTTAACCAGTGTAGTCTATTTCCCAAACGACTCTTCTTTTTAGTGGATCCAACATACAACACAACCAGGGCTGTGTTTCCCAAAAGCATCGTTAGCCTGAGTTGATCATGAAGACCATTGGTGGCAATTGGTTCTACGATCAACTTAGGCTTACAATGCTTTTGGGAAACGGAACCCAGTGTAGTCTGATTCTTAAACGAATTACTCATATTAGTCTGTTCTTTTTAATGACTCAAAAACATGGACTGCAACTAGTGTAGTCTGATTCCTAAAAAGCAATTGACTCTAATGAGGCGATTCCGTTTAGTGAAACAAACACATACGTTGCAACCACTGGTGTAGTCTGATTCTTAAAATGAATGAATCTTTTGAGGTGATTCCTTTTAGTGGATCAAACATATACAGCGCAACCAGTGTAGTCTGATTCTCGAGTCAATTATTTTAGTGAATCAAAAACATACAGCTTAAACAGTGTAGTCTGATTTCTGAAGGAAAGCATCATACGAGTCTATTCTTTTTACTGGATCAAACACACAGCCTAATTAGTCTAGTCTGATTCCCGAATTAATGATTCTTATGAGCTGACTGTTTTTAGTGAATAAAACATACAACATAACCAGTGCAGTCTGTTTCCAAGATGAAAGAATTAGACAAGTCTGTTCTGTTTTAATGATCAAAAACATTCAGCCCATCCAGCATAGTCTGATTCCCACATGAATGATTCTTATGAGCTGACAGTTTTTAGTGAATAAAACATACAGCACGACCAGTGTAGTCTGTTTCCCAGATGAAAGATCTGAGAAGTCTGTTCTTTTTAATGATCAAAAACATTCAGCCCATCAGGCATAGTCCGATTCCTGAATGGATGACTCTTATTAGGTGTTCTTTTTAAGTGAATCAAAATTCACTGCAACCAGTTGTCTGATTTCTGAACCAATGACTCTATTGAGTCGGTTCTTTTCAGTGAATCAAGAACAATTACAACTACAATAACTGTGAAACTTAAATTAGTTGAGTTAAGATACGTTTTGCAAGAATTGTTTTGAATTAATAATTAATAATTAAATTAACCAATTGTTATTCTCAATCTCATAATTTGTTAATGGAATTGCATTTATATTTTCTTAATATTTATTCCTAAAAGAGTCATAAATGGAGCCGTTAGGGAACCAGAATCATGAAGAGGAATTGAAATCAGAATCGTTAAATTCTTCTAGTTATCAGTGGCAATCATAACTGATGATTTAGGAGATTCAAACCTGCGTTTAAATGCTGTTGTCACTCCAAAACATTGTCTTTTATGATGCTAATTATTAAATTACGGATTAACAGTCAGCTGTGGTGCAAATATGGACGGTTCCTATATAAAGCGTTTCAACACTCTATAAAATCAAAATGGAGAAACAAATGAATGTGTTGATATGAGCAATGATTAACGGACCACTAAACTTCTTTACCTGGTGACAACTTTTTCTCCAGCCATGGACACGAGGGGTGTTGTTTCTCCTTGTACAGTGTCCGCAGTCTCCGTCTCGCCCCGTCCACTCGATCCTGCCCTGCCGGGGCAACAGACGTACTCCACCCCGCGGAAACGGTCACCACACGGCAACAACATCCCATAACTATGCAGCTCCAGACTGTCAGCTGTGCAGGCCTAATGATCAGGGCAAAAGATGAATGACTGCAGCAGTGCTTTAAAAAAAAGAAAAAGTGCATTATTTCTTCTTTTTTTATCTTTTTGTAATTGCTTGTACATGTCAGGGTGAAATGACCTGTACAACTCAAATGGAAAAACCTGGAGCACCAGAAGATACTGGTAATAATGCAGAGAGGAAATGAGAAAAAGAAGATCATAGATCACAGCGGGCGACTGCAATTTCACAGGCATCACACTAACCATTAAAGATGTGAAGCTATTAGAGTTGAATTCCAGTTCTTCCAATACTTTTTCAGGTTGTAATTTTGTGAGCTTTTATTATTTACCTCTTTGGCGATGTTGTGCCAGTACACGTAGCTCTCGCAAGAATCCATCTGCTCCTGGTGTAAGAAACGGCAGCGATCCGGGACCAAGAGTGAATCGCTGACATACTCACCCACTGAGAGGCAGAAAAAGAGAGAAACATAATAAAATCACAGTCCTTAACACAGAAATTAAGATTATTAATAAAGCATGCGTTCAAAAATGTGAGCTCAATAAGATGTTTATTCTTTTATTCAGCAAGGACACATTAAATTGATCGATAGTGATGATAAAGACATTTATAATGATACAAAAGATTTCTATTTCAAATAAATGCTTTTCTTTTGAACTTTCTATTCATCAAAGTATCCTGGAAAAAAAAACATCAGACTTCAAAAAATACAGTTTCCACAAAACATATTAAGCAGTTTTTAACATTGATCACACAAAATAGTAAATATTTTAATTTGTGACTGTTTTTACTGTGTTTTTAATTCAATAAATGCATCTTTCAAAACACCCCCTTTTATGATAATGACTGGAATAAATTCTAAGACAAAAGAATGAGAAAATAGCTATACAATACTGGAGACGAAAAAAAAAAATGGTGTTAGCATTTTTGAAAATGCCCACCGTGAGCTGATAAGGCAAATATAAGAAGTGGGAACTTAAAATATGTGCAGTATGTGAGCAGAAACCAAGGACAAAAGCTCCTCAGAGGCAAACAGCTGCACAAGCATTACTTATTCATCAACATTAGTACTGAGCCAACAGATTTATAACTTATTTATTTATTTTTGGTTGTGATATAACATATTTGTACGGCATTGCAGAGTACAGTGTACTACAAAATGATGCTGTAATATTGTAGTTAAGAAATCTCAGAAACATCATGTTCGTTCTCACAATTCATTGTTAAAGTGCCCTATTATGCTATTTTAAAGGCTCCTAATTTTGTTATGACGGTTTCCTACAATAGGTTTACATATACATCCAAGATCAGAAAACACTTACATTTTCTCATATACACTGCAGCATCACCTCTTTTATGAAAGTGTCTTATTGTTTGATAAAGGATTCGATCTCTCTAAACCTCTCCTTTCCGAGAGTCTACTCTGCTCTGATTGGTCAGATGGGCCAGTCTGTTGTGATTGGTCTACTCTGCTCTGATTGGTCAGATGGCCCAGTCTGTTGTGATTGGTCTACTCTGCTCTGATTGGTCAGATGGCCCAGTCTGTTGTGATTGGTCTACTCTGCTCTGATTGGTCAGATGTCCCAGTCTGTTATGATTGGTCTACTCTGCTCTGATTGGTCAGATGGCCCAGTCTGTTGTGATTGGTCTACTCTGCTCTGATTGGTCAGATGGCCCAGTCTGTTGTGATTGGTCTACTCTGCTCTGATTGGTCAGATGGCCCAGTCTGTTGTGATTGGTCTACTCTGCTCTGATTGGTCAGATGGCCCAGTCTGTTATGATTGGTCTACTCTGCTCTGATTGGTCAAATGGCCCAGTCTGTTGTGATTGGTCTACTCTGCTCTGATTGGTCAGATGGGCCAGTCTGTTGTGATTGGTCTACTCTGCTCTGATTGGTCAGATGTCCCAGTCTGTTGTGATTGGTCTACTCTGCTCTGATTGGTCAGATGGCCCAGTCTGTTGTGATTGGTCTACTCTGCTCTGATTGGTCAGATGTCCCAGTCTGTTGTGATTGGTCTACTCTGCTCTGATTGGTCAGATGGCCCAGTCTGTTGTGATTGGTCTACTCTGCTCTGATTGGTCAGATGGCCCAGTCTGTTGTGATTGGTCTACTCTGCTCTGATTGGTCAGATGGCCCAGTCTGTTGTGATTGGTCTACTCTGCTCTGATTGGTCAGATGTCCCAGTCTGTTATGATTGGTCTACTCTGCTCTGATTGGTCAGATGGCCCAGTCTGTTGTGATTGGTCTACTCTGCTCTGATTGGTCAGATGGGCCAGTCTGTTGTGATTGGTCTACTCTGCTCTGATTGGTCAGATGGGCCAGTCTGTTGTGATTGGTCTACTCTGCTCTGATTGGTCAGATGGGCCAGTCTGTTGTGATTGGTCTACTCTGCTCTGATTGGTCAGATGGGCCAGTCTGTTGTGATTGGTCTACTCTGCTCTGATTGGTCAGATGGCCCAGTTTGTTGTCTGTATACTGCTTACAGGGCATGACGGAAATGAAAAGCCCATTATCATATCTGAATTTCAACTCCGGAGGCTTCCTCGGCGCTTGATACACAGTGATACCTACAGTAGCCATAACGTCGGTTTTCCCATATCAATTCAAGCACAAGTCTTCGTCCTTTGGAAGTGCATGCAAAGTTAATTTGCTTTCGGAAAGCAGAAATTAGCATCTTCTTAATATGTAGACAACACAAACTAAACTCTTCCAGGCCTCAGCTACAATTACAGTGTTTGAGGGCGGGTCAAAGTAGATGTTGTTAATGGGGAGCCAATGAGGACCATAAGCTGGGATTGTGCAAATTTGTTACAAACCTACGTAGGCTCGTGCAGAAAATACTTTTTTTTTTAAATTACTGACGACTCGCTTCAGGCAGTTCAGAATCGGTTATTTTATTTAGGAGACAATAACATTTATCGCTCACTTTGCTCTTTAAAACTTTTCAGACTTTTTACATACACAAACAGCTATATTACACATGGCTTGAAAGGTAATATCTGAAAAAAAGATAATAGGGGCACTTTAAAATAATTGTTCACCAAATAAACTGAGTAAATGATAGTAGAATTTTTATTTTGGGTGAACTGTTCCTTTAATTCATTTCCATCAAAGAATTTAACCGCATAAACAGGTGTATGAACACATTATTGATTGAGGTTTACATCAAACTACATATGATGATGCTGTGGAAATCTAGTCTTTACAGCATTCTTGATGGGATGTCTGGGATTATAAACTGTTCAGGATGTGTTTGTGACTCACCCAGACAACGGTAGGGCACAACGATGAAGGGGCGGGTCTGACATTTACCCAAGCCCTTCTTACACCAGCCCTGGATGGTGGCTGGAGATGAGGCCTCTTCCACATGGGAGATCTGCAGTCCTGGATACATCTGACATACGGCGAGAACGACAGACACAAACAAACGTGAGGGAAGAGCAGGGGACAGGAGTCAGGATCACAACAGTTGGAAGAAGGACAGGGGAATAATACATTTAGCATGCAGAAAATAATAAGAACAAGGGGATGAGAAGGAACGGGACAAAAATAAATAAAACCACTCCGGATAAGGATCCATGGAAGCCATTTGGCCACAATTCATCACTGCACAGTGAAATATTCAATTATTTCTGATCTTGTTTCTGAAAACGTACACTATAAAAGATGATTTTTCGAAGTTGTATGTTTTAAAAGAAAAAAAACTATTTCAGTTTCCTTTAAAATTCCATGCCGTAATTCTTTGTATTTATTGTGAAATTCACTACCACTTTCTGAGTGAAAATTGTATCTACAACAATCTTTTTTTCAGTGCAGTTGCACATGGGAGTCTTTTTATATGACCATTATAGCTAAACCACACATGCAATTAATAGCAAGCCAGATAAATACCTAATGGATGCTTTTTTTATGCTGATGGTTACTGTTTAATGTGAGACCTCTCATTTTACCACAAGAGGGAGTCGCTGAGTCAGGACTGCAGCACTTTACAGTTAATAAAGGAAGAAGAAAAACATTTCTGTGTTTGTCCAGCAAGAGGCGTCAGAAAACTCACTGCGTATTATTCACGAATTTCCAAAGCAATTAAGCCTCACCTTCAAAACATGTTTGCAGGGGCACTGAGTCATACTGAATCATCTGTATATTATTATGATTTATTTTTTATTCAAACTGAAATCATAAACTGAATCAAATAGGAGGGAGTATAGGAAGAGAGGGAAAAATGGATAGATATGTACGTATATTCAGGAATATACATGTGTAAACTGTCACATTAGGTTTGTTTCACTATATATTTTTATATATAGATCAGATTTGACAAGACAAGGTCAGTTACACATAAAAAAAGGTCTTTTACTTGCAAGTTGTGAGTAAATATTCAACATGTTTCATACGTATTCTGTTCTTTCTCTGTCTCTCTCTCTCACTATATATATATATAGAGAGAGAGAGAGAGCGAGAGAGAGAGAGAGAGAGAGAGAGAGAGAGAGAGAGAGAGAGAGAGAGAGAGAGAACAGAATCACACACACGCACAATATATATATATATATATATATATATATATTAAAATGGATGTGCAAATCCATTGAGTAACACTGTTATTATTGCCTATTTTATTTGTTTACCAAGGATTAGGCCTATATATTCTAGTGAAAGGATGAATTTGCTTAAACAATGAAAATGTGTCTTCTTAAATATTGTACCTAAGATATTGGCTAAAGGGTTTGCGCACACAATGTGCTGCATTTCAACGTCCTTCAGCTGTAAATAGTCACAGGATAACCTTGAGTCCATTACTGCTTAATTATGACATATTGTTTGAATTAATGTAGTGTAGTATTTGCAAATATTCTTTGAAAATAGAGTATTGTCCTGGGTATATGCATGCATCGAATCCATTGGCACTGGGCTGAAACAAGTGAGAGTGTAATCTTACAGACATATGGGAAGGGATTATTATGTTCTAAACACGCTCTGGCAATGAGGCCGCAGTCCACTGGCAGACTGCTAGCCTAAACCTCATCCAGCCAGGAGAATGACATATTCTTTGGCCTCCTCATTCCATTTTGATGTCACTCGTGCCAGATAGCTTATGTATATGCCACGTCGTGCCAGGCTAGAATGCAGGCACAATAATGCTTTTAAAAGCCATTAGTCAGAATGACTGGTTGACTGGTTCAGCCCAGATTAGAGCACAACGAGGTGATTTTACACTGTGGAGCTGTAGGGACAGTGTGTTGATTCAGACAAGGTTGGACAGACATCGCTGGCACTTTTAGCGCACAGAGAGACAAAACAGCTTTTTTTTTCAGGCTGACATCTCAATTTTCAGAATTGCTGTCATGCAATAATACAGGCTTAGAGTATTGTGCGCTGATTTCAGCCATGAAATACGCCAAATCTTATTCGGCGAGACGCATTGCTGTATTTGGCAATCGAGATATATCGAATGACCAGAAGAATGCAGGAAAGCGTGGAATTTTTCAATCTCGTTATCCGTCAAGAATGCAATGGAAGTTGTTATTGTACAACATTGTAAATCTACAGGGATGCAGGGGAATGCTATTTTGCAATGATATCCTTAAGGGACACGGAAGTGTGTTCGGAAGTGCTGCTGTAAACTGATGAAAAACCGAGGAAAACAACCAGGCATCATCGTTCATCCCTAATTCCTCTAGATGAGACAACAGGGAATGAAAACTTATTGCAATCCTCTTAGGAGTCAGAGAATACAGTCACATTAGCCGCACAATATGTTTGAGCCTGAGGCGTACGGAGATCATAAATCTCCACTGCTGATTGATAGTGAAAAATATGGCCATTATCCTGCACACTTAATACGGGAAGAGTTAGAGAGAGTTCCCTGTGTATGCACATAAACGGCGTTGCACATTTTAGTCTTGTTTTACAAAGCTAATATTAGAGCAGGCTGCCCTCGGCGTTCACCTTGAGAATATGCTTGAGTGGAGATTTGTCTGAGGATGCTTGTCCACATAGTAATTAAACCAATCACAGTGCATGCTAATGTGGGTGCGCTGAGTTTGATGTTATGAGCTTGACTGAAATTTAAGTACAGGAGTTCAAAAGAACAGAATAAAAGTAGAAGAGGACGGGACGTAATATATTACGTCATATATAACAGTGATCCACTGGATAGAAAACAGCAATGGAATAGAACAGAACAGGAGAACAAAAACAAATAAAGTAAAACAAAATGGAATCCAAAAAAAAAAAAAATCAAATGAAATCAAACTAAATCAAATTGAAAAACAAAACAAAAACAAGTGAAACAGAATGGAACGATTGAATAGAAAAGACTTCACTAAAATAGAATAGTACAGAGCAGAAAACTGCAAATAAACAATAAACCTCAAAACAAAAAAATAGAATAGAGAATAGAGCACAAAAAAGGCTAGATTAAAAAATCTAAAAAAGACTAGATTAAAATAGAATAGAGCACAAAACAAAATACTGTTAATAAAGCTAAAAAAGAAGATAATAGAGCAGATCAAAACAAATGGAACAGAATGTAACAATGAAATAGAAAAGTCTAGACTAAAAGTGAATAGAATAGAGCAAAAAACAAATACTGTAAACAAAGCTCAGAACAATAAAACTCAAAACAAAACAAATAGAAGAGAATAGAGCAAAAACACAAAACAAAATTGAAAATAAAAATATTGAAAAGACTTGACTAAAATGGAATAGAATAGAGCACAAAACAAATGTAGTAAATAAATATCACAACAAAATAAACAAGAGCACAAACAAACTAAAACAAATGGAACAAATGGAACAGAATGCAACAATGAGGTAGAAAAGACTAGACTAAAATAGAATAGAGCAGAGCACAAAAATACTGCAAACAAAGCTCAAAACTAAATAAACAGGAGAGAACAGAACACAAACAAAACAAAAAATAAAACAAAACCAGATCAGAATCAGAATAGAATCGCACCTCTTGGCAGTATGACAGGATCTTGCTGGGCTGGGTGAAGCATCCCTGTCGCCCCTGAGGATCTGGTTCCCAGTGTCCGCTCTCAGTGTTCATGTGTAGAAGCTGACGACCACAAAACATGGAAATCTGAGGTTCTGCCACACGAGGACCGCTAACCGGTCCATTCACCTCCGTCATGGCCAGAGCCTGAGAAAGAGAGAGAGAGAGAGATTTTGAATTTTATGCTGATTCAAAGTCAAAGTGACTCTGAATTCTACAGTAAAACATTGCATTTGCTGTACACATATATTATGTTCTTGCAGGGGCTTTCTTGCATAAACAGACTTGTAACTAACCAAAGCAAGAAGACAAGTCAAGTGCCAATCTATTAAAACACATTACAATATAGTAGACAAACACAAGGTGTATACAACACCTTTATCTTCTAGAGAAGATATGCAAACTTTATATTGTATAGTATTGAGAAAGCGAGAGAACTCAAATTGTTCATTCCTGATAAAAACAAGTGAAGCCTGGCTGCCTGTTATTACTGCAAACCACAGAGCGATAAGAAATGTTTGAGGCCAGCAAAAATTCAGAGCGATAGGAAAGTGGAAAGGACAGGACGAGGAGAGACACGGAGACAGGGAAGAAGAGTGAGTGCAGTTGTTATCACTGTCCTGACAGCGAGGAGGAAATATAACATGGGGTCTCATTATTGAATTTCAAATTGAGCCAGCAAGCCAGACCGGCTGATAACCCTAAATGCAGCTTATCCATCTTCCATCAAACCTGTGCGTGTAACTGGAGGACAGGCAATGACAGGACACTGAGCTGCAGATGTGCACAGCAACAGCTTTTGGCACTGGACACTAGTCGCAAATATGTCTGCTCGCCCACCAGGCGGAAATAAAAGTGTTAACGAATTCAAAAGGGCAAAGGGGGAATGATTATCTTTAAAAAGGCACATTATAATTCATCAACACAAACTGCCAATTTCTCTGTGAATATGTGTCTAAGGTATTTATTCTGTCTACATAGCAGGCTTGTGCAAAATTCAGAATTGAATTGAGAATGACTCCTGAATTCCAATTCAATCCTTGAATTTGAATTGATGTCAAAAACAGGATCTAGAATTACAATTCGAATTTGAATTAAAGGAAGCAGAATTGCAATTCAATAAAAATTCAAAGAAATGAAAATACATATTTTAAGTGAAGGGTTTAAAAATGAAGCTTTACAGTATATGTCAGATATGAATGCATTACATATTCTATAAATTATATTAGTTTGAACTACTTGTACAGATTACATTAACAGGAAATGTTTTCCCCCAGCAATGAATGTTAAAAGCTCTAGTCACAGAACAAATAATTAAGTTTGATTTATTGTAATTGTAATTTTGTGGAACATGATGGAACATGACTCAATTTCCCAGAATTACTTTAGTAAATCTTTAGAAGAAGAAAAAAACTATTTGAGGTGGACATGTGTTTATATATATATATGTATGCAGGGTTGAGGAGTGACTAGTTAGTAACGTGTAATGAAATTATATTATTAAATTACAAAATGAATGTAATTGTATTTAGTCGTATTACTGAGGTAACGTGTAATTCAATTAGTTACTAATCAAATTAAAAGGAAATTGCTTTACATTGATAAAGTAATCCAAACCACCTTTATAATGGGTAAATTATAACAGTAAGCAATTACATTTCCAAAGTAACCTTCCTAACACTGAATGTATGTAAGATTCCACATTCTTTCTGTTGTGTGACTGTGTGGAATTTCTTTGAATTGCCATGAATTTAATTCCACTTCCTGTCAATCCAATTCAACTTCCTGTGGGGAAGAGTCAATTCAATTAAAATTCCAATTCATGAATTGAACGGAGGCCAATTCTGGATTTTGCACAAGCCTGCTACATAGTGCACACTTCCCGCATTCCCTTCTTGATTTTCTCCGGCTGTGTTGGGAATGGAAAACTGTGTATACTGCACTGTATATGTAAACAGCATTTAAATAAATAAATATAAAATAAATAAATAAACTCTATAAATAATACATATTATTAATAAATAAATAAAATATAAAATATAATAAATAAATAGCATTCATAAATAAAATAATAAAATAAACACTACATTAAATTAAATATGAATAAACAATAAATAAACACATGTTATTTGTACAGTACACAGTATGCAACCATTAATTTTGAACTGTATGTTCAATATCAGTGGAAATAAAATTGGATTACACATGGAAAATAAAGTTACGTAAAAAAATATATGGACCACTCGTCTTATTGAAAATTGTAAGTGCATTGGATTATGGGATACAGTAAGCCTACTACAGGCAAATATATAGTGTTCAGGTGTTCCGTGAACACACAGTGAAAAAACACACAGTGTACATACTGCGTGACATAGTAAGAGTACGCCATTGAGAACACACCCTCAGTTCCTGATCCGTTCGGTTCTCACCCTTCTCTCTCACATCACTCAGTTTCTAGTTCATTCACATCCTCCCTTTCTCTTTGGCAAAGGATGTAGGTATTGATCTGAAATCTGTTCAGCACTCCTGGAGGAAGGGCCCCGGGGACAGTCACGCATGCAGAGCAAACAGTAACCCCATGCTAGAGTCAGATGTTAATACAAGCTCATTGACCACTAGGTCATTTGAGTACAGCAACACAGAGCAGGAAACAAGGGATCAGGAGGGAAGAGAAAGTCTAATCAGGGGAGAGGCTTCATTTCATCTCGGTATCTATCTACCCGTTTCACTGTTTAAGGCTTAGTAGCCGTACAGACTAATCGCTTCTCTGCAACGAGGAACACACGAGTGTTTGTTTCTGTGTTTATATATTATATGCATGCCATTTATCTTCTGTAGGGACAAGCCACATATACTATATATATATATACAGTATATATTAGATGTAGCAGACAATGTAATCCAAAGCCTCTTAGAAAATGTAAAAATGACTGTTAACTCACTTTAATAATCCCAAAGCAAATCAAATCAAATCAGATATAACTGAGGTCATATTTAATTTAGAAAGTGAAGAAATGTATGGTGACCATATAAATGTTACTTAAAACAAATGGCATGGAAAAAAGAACAATATAAAAATAATAATGCTTTTAAATATATTTTAATTTAATCATAATTTATAGAAAATATTATAAAATAAACAACAAAAAACAAAGATTTTGAGGCAACAAAATGAGATCAACATGCGCAAGAAGCGTCACTGACATTGCTGCTTTTCAGAAGAGAGAATTACTGCGCCTTTCAAAAGCATCATTAATCTGGGGTTTGCCTGCGCTGGAGTGATTTATCCTGGATTAAGTCTATAAATTAGAGTCAAATTTATATCAGGGTACAGACACTGAATTGAAGAGAGAGGCAGATTGTTTAAAAGTGTCAGACAGAGCACTAGCTTCGTATATCCTGACACACAACCAGAATTGGATATCAAAATCATCTGAAGAAAAATTCAACAGTATTTTTATAAAGCGGTATGTTATTCCCCGATAACAACCGCTGAAAACAGATAACACAGGCTCATCCGTGTTACTGAAGTCAGCAGCGCTATACGCTTGCTATAGGAACGGTTTTTCTTCGTGGAAATTTTGCGTTTGGTGAGCTAATAAAATATTACAACTCAAATCAGTCAAATCAATATTTTGTGTACAGTTATTTAATTATGTCATCCAGTATCGTGGACTTATACTGCCATTTTGATTGTTTTGTACACTGTAATGGATTAGAAGATAACAAACAGGTACGATTTAAAATCTCAACCTCAATCTTAATCTCAAATCAATATCTCTTATCCCCATAATTATTTTTGTGGCGAAATGCTGTGTAATAAGTGGTATGACTGTACTGTATCCCTTAAATGTCCGTCTAGTTTGAACTTGCCGCGCTAGCAAATGCTCTCTCCGCAGAAGCTTTACATTTAAAGAGCTAATAAAATATTTCAACTCAGATCAATATTTCATGTATATACTTATGTGGCAAGTAGCCGTGTAATAAGCGGGATAATGTACATCCAGCCGGTTGTTATCGCAGAATAAACCCCTTCAGAGTGATGCAGGGTTTATTCTGAGATAACAACCGGCTGGATGTACATATATATATATATATATATATATATATATATATATATATATATATATATATATATATATATATATATATATATATATTATTTGTTTAAATGAATTCTAATTTAATAGCATATTTTCATATTAAAGTGTTCCATGGTCTATGTCAGGCTAATTCAAGCTAGGAAAATGTCCTTTTCATCACACAACTAGTCATTTTGATCAGTGGCCAAGAGTGATTTTAAGAGAACTGTAATGACTAATGACAAACAACACACTGCAACATGTGATTATAACACCAGACCGGGTGTGCGTCAGTTCTGAATATGATTCTGCCACGCGTGAATTCTGCGGGGGAGTGCTGCTGCGAGGTTGCACGACTTACTTGTAGGTGGAAAGACGCAATCAAAGAAAAAAAAAAACAGCTTTTTAGAAGCTTGTCACAGTTTTTTTTTTTCTTACACTCCAAAGCTCGCTGCATTTCAATGGCATCCCCAGCGAGGGCACCAGTCTAGCAACCCTGGCAAAGACTGGAAACCCGGCGTACTTTAATCTTCAATGAGAGAGTGAATGACAGACACACAGCACTCAGGCAACCAATTAGACTGGAGATGCCCTCAGGGAGAGAGAGAGAGAGAGAGAGAGAGAGAGAGAGAGAGAGAGAGAGAGAGAGAGAGAGAGAGAGAGAGAGAGAGAGAGAGAGAGAGAGAGAGAGAGAGAGAGAGAGAGAGAGAGAGAGAGAGAGGGAGAGAGAGAGAAAGGCGAAATGTAAAACTGATCAAAGGAAAACCCTGCCTCTGCTGGCCAATGCAAAAACGTTTGAAGTCCTAATTAAAATTTATGAGGAAATAAATATATAAATTTGAGCTGTAAATATACAATAAATATACAGAGCCCGCAGGAGATAGAGAGAGAGAGAGAGAGAGAGTGAGAGAGCAGCATTAATGCAGAGCTGAGAATAAGAGGCAAATGCCATTAGGAGACTGTTGGATTAAAAATGCTGAAAAAAAAGGCTTGACGAATGGGTTCGTACCGCCGCTGCAGTGTTTGCAGTGACAGTGCACAGTTGCGTGTGTGTGTGTGCCAAAG